GCCACATTCTCCAGTGGGTTAGGGCTAGGAAGGCTCAGCTGGGTAGCCACAAGCCCCCCCGCCCCACCTGGGGATTGTAGGTGCTGGGTACCATCCTAGTAACTGTAACAGAGTTGCAAGGCACCTTGGAGGTCATCTAGTCCAACCCCCTGCTCACGCAGGAGACCTATACTAGGGATTCGAACTGCCGACCTTTCTGATCGACAAGCTCAGCGTCTTAGCCACTGAGCCACCTAGCCAGGATAATCCTCATTGCTTTTGTGTCCCAGCATCAAGTCCAGTTGCCCTTGGGAGCCCAAGATGGCCCAGAGGACCTCCCATGGCCAGCCACTGAGCCCAGGCCCCTGCAGGCTGCGTGCGTGTGTGTGACGGCATGGAGGACTGGGGGAGAATTCCGCCCCACTGGTGGGTGGGAAGGCAGCTTTTCCGTCTGGGGCTGTGGGGCCTGCGCTCCGGGCAGACGCACAAAGGAAGGGGGTGTGCAGTGCATGTGCGTAAGGAAGGATGTTCTGGAACAGGGTCGGCTTTTTGAACTGAGGGTCGCTTTGTCTTCGGCCAGCCTTGGCACTGGATTCCGGCACTGACTTTGCACCCCGGAAGGAGATGCCAAGAACCTCCGTTTCTGCGGGACATGGTACGGCTGACGCCAAGCGGCGTCACGGCTGAGGGAGCTGGCTAGTGTCCAGCATCTGGACCTTTGGCCCCGGGGCAGCGAGTGGCCTTGGGCAGCTGCCAAATCGGGGGCCTTGGGAGGGGAAAAGCCCACCCCCAGCAGGATCTTAGGGAACCTTCTGCCCCACGCGCAGCAAGTCTCTGCGGAACAGGCTCCTTGCTCCTGGCAGAGCGTGGGACCAGGTGCCGTGGCCGCTCGGTCCGGCTGAAATGGCACACAGAAAGACTTTGTTTGGCCAGGGTGGGCGGAAGTCCTAACAGGCGGTCTGAATTCTAAAGTGTGTTGTTTGGTGGCCGATAAAGGGCTTATTGTATGCAAAATAGTTTATAAAGCAGCATATGACTTTCTCGAGATGGGCAGAGTTTGCCGGAGGCCTGCGCCTGCGGCTGCCTTGCAGAAGGACCGTTCCCCAGGGCAAGGTAAGGGCTGGTCGGGAGGCTCATCCTCACCCCGTAAGGAATGAATGGGCTGGCTGGGAGCTGCTGGGAACTCACAGGGGGGCTTGGGAAGGGGGCATTGGGAGAAACCCATCACTTTTGGCTTTCTCCATCCTAATTTTGTGGGGCTGCTAGAAACAGGACATTGGTGACAGCAGCTGCTTTTAAATCAGTCGGGCTTATCATAAGCTCCCCAAAACTTGCTTCTCAAAATATTTTTTAAAATATGTTCGTATTTCCATAACTTTTCATCAGCGTGCCCGGCCAGTCAATGCAATGGCTGCGTTGGTGCGGCCGGTTAGGCCCTCTAATGAATTTCTGGAGAAGGGGAAGGCTCTCTGACCTGGCAGGCAGTCCAGGGAATGGCACCACTTTGCTTCGGACCTTGAGAGCACCTAGAATGTGCCACCAGTCCCCAGGGCGCAAAGGGACCCGAGCGGTGTCTCTACCCTCCTTGCAGGAAAGACTCTGAAATCTCAATTTGCCTGTCTCTGGAGGGAGGGGCAGCGCAAAAAGCCATACTGGGGAATATCTTGCTCTCCTGGGGAAGGTTGCCAGGTTGCCCAGATCCAGTCTCCGCTTCCAGCCTGGCCCAGCAGAGCTGCTTAGGCGTACAGGGCTGGGGTGTGCAGCCATGCCCCTCAGGTGCAGGCCACGGTGGCATCAGCCCCAGGGAAAACACAGGGGCCTGTGAGGAAGAGTGGAAGATTGTAGCAGGGTCCTCATTCCGCTGGAGGGGCAGGGCCGAGTCCATGCCAGCCTAGGGATTTGGAGGTAGCTGCCAAAGGAAGCTGTGGGAAACTTGCCAGTCCTTGTAGGTGTTGGCAGCGCCATTCTGACTGCAGCATCTCACCAATCCTTTGGCCATGGTAGGCCAGGTCAAGAAAGAGAAGCACAGGGGTGCCAGGAGTCTCTTTATTGCTGTAGGGCAGGAGAGCCGTTTCTCTCAGCCTGACTAGTCGGGAATGGGGGCTCAGGACAATCCTGGGGGCCGATGGCACACAGAGCTTTCTGAGAGCAGGGCTGCCAAGGGCTTAAGCAAGAGGAGAGGTCCAACTTTTGTCTTTATCATCCCCAGGCAGTTTGTGGCAATGCATGAAATAAAACGAGGTGGCTTAAGGGAGTGGAGATGGGGGGGGAGATGAACACAGTGGTTCTTTGCACTCCCCACCCAGCAAAACATGGGGGAGAGATTTAGCCTGGGGCCCTGTCCGCTCTGACCAGATCCGACCCTTTTCTTTCAGGTCTGAGGCGCCATGAAGTGGGAAGGCTTCTACGCTCTGATCATTGGCGTGAACCGCCACTCCACCGCCATTGGCCGCATCTGGCTCTCCGTGGTATTCATCTTCCGCATCATGGTGCTGGTGGTGGCCGCCGAGAGCGTCTGGGGCGACGAGCAGTCCTCCTTCACCTGCAACACCCAGCAGCCTGGCTGCAAGAACGTCTGCTACGATTACTACTTCCCCATCTCTCACATCCGGCTCTGGGCGCTGCAGCTGATCCTGGTGACCACGCCAGCACTTCTGGTGGCCATGCACGTGGCCTACCAGCAGCACCAGGAGAAGAAGCTTTTGGTGATGACCGGCCACGGGGACACCAAGCACCTGGAGGAAGTCAAGAAGCACAAGATGCGCATTTCCGGTTCGCTCTGGTGGACCTACATCTTCAGCGTCCTTTTCCGCATCCTCTTTGAAGGCATCTTCATGTACATCTTCTACATGATCTACCCAGGGTACCAGATGATCCGCCTGGTCAAGTGCGACGTCTATCCCTGCCCCAACACTGTGGACTGCTTTATCTCTCGGCCCACCGAGAAGACCATCTTCACCGTCTTCATGCTGGCCACCTCTGGCATTTGCATTGTCCTCAACGTGGCCGAAATGATCCTCCTTGTCGTGCGAGCCTGTGCCCGGCGCCTCAGCCGAAGCCACAACCCTTCCTCGGGGAAGAGCTCCTTCCTGGGGCACAAGTTGTCTTCGGAGTACAAGCAGAACGAAATCAACCAGCTGCTGACTGAGCACGACGGCTCCCTCAAGGACATTCTCCGGCGGAACTCGGGGCTGCAGGAGAAGAGTGACCGCTGCTCGGCCTGTTAAGAGGCCTCGGGCTGTCGGTGGGTCATTGGGCTCCGGCCTGATGGAGAGCAGAGTACTCTTCTGGGTGGCCAAGCTGTCTTGTCACGGCACTGTCTCAAGCCCTTCTGGGGGAATCTGGCTGGGGCCTTTCCCCCAATCCTGCTGTCACCAGCTACCGTCTTACACTTCCCTCCCATCGGTTTACAGGATCCGTAGGGAGTTTCTGTGGATTTTGCAGGCACCGGATCGGCCTGCGGAACGCCCTGATTGCAGCTAGGCGAAGCCCAAAGGCTGGTGGTCTGCAATGGAGCTTCTGAAGGTCGCTGCAGGCCCCTTCCAGCCAGGAAATCCAACTGCAGCCCGGCTCGCTGGCTGCATTTTACTGTACCAAAGCAAGTCACAGTATTAAAACAATTTTACAGGTCCTGCCTTCAGTGGTTTTTCTTTGGGCTTTCACATCAGCACATGGAAATGCAGGCCTTTCTCTGGTTGAATTCCTGGCCGGCCACCGTTTGCTGAAAAGTATGTCAGGAGGTGGGAGGAATCTTTCCTTCCCATCCCGAGTCTGGATCCAGGCAAAGAGCTCCTGCCAGGAGCCTAAGCAGAAGTGTGTGTGTGTGGGGGGGGGGGGGTTTAGGGGGCTGAGGAAAGAAGTGACAGCCGGCAGGACCCTTAGCCAGTTGAGGGGGAACAAGCTGGCTTATTCCAGGTGTCCCCGGCTTGCCAAAGGAGAGGCTGTGAGGTTTGCAGAGATGGGCACAAGGTGCACGCTGGCAGAACAGCCTGACTTCCCGAGGCCCCCTTTGTGGGGGACTAGTAGCTAAAGACAAGCATCCTCCCCCTGTAGGAGGAGGCGTAATGAGCCAGGCGAAATAAAGGCGGAGGAAGCCCTGGAACGGGAAAGGCAGCCTGGCTCGGAGGGCACCCAAGCTCCACTGCTGGATGAGGCAGAGCCACTGGGGTCAACGGGCGCTTGAAGTTCTCAGTCGAAATGGGGCAGCTGAGCGCCTGGGAGGGAAGGGCGCCTAGAACGAGCCTGGATCCTCTGGACTCAGTCAAATGGCTGGGCTTGCCCATGACCTCCCTGGCGGCTTTCTCCACCCCAGAGACTGCCCAGCCCCTTGTTGGGCTCCACCCTGGCCTGATGCGACCATCAGTCAGACCGTCCTTCCTCCCTTCTTGCCCGAACTTTGAGTGTTTCCTTGTCCCAGATTCAGGCAGGAACAGGTGGAATTTCCATCGTGGGCAGGAATCCCACCTGCTCCGCAGCCACTGCCAGGTGAACCTCAGAGGCACAACGGGCCTCTCCCACAACCACAGCACCAGACTGCCTCCGCCCAGGCATGCTTCCTGCAGGCCAAGATGCCAAAGCTGGGGCCTGAAAGCAGATCTCCTTTTCTGGATGCATTTGGCCTGCCCTTCCCGCTCACCCCATGGCCCGGATGCAGCTGGAACGCCTCCCCTAAGCTGAGCTGTGCCACCCCCACCCCCCCAGTGTCTTGATCTTCACAATAATTCATAGCTTGCACAGGCCGTGAAGTCCACTGGAGGGCACCAAACTGGGCAAAGCCAGCCTCTGGCTCTGACCACAGCAGCAGCTCCCCAAACGCTGACGTGGGTTGCCGCCCCCTAATGGCTAAAGGGTGAAAGAACACATGGGAGACGGGCACCCCAGATCGTTTCCCCTCCCCACCCCTCCGTAGGCCAGAAAGAGAAATCTGGGGGGCTGGTTCCCCACTCGAGGGCCTCCCGGCTCACCCCTGGGGCCGCAGCGCCAAGTTTTCTCCTCCCTCACCAGAAAGAGCCAAACCCAGAGAGCTTTTCTGCCTTTATTTGAAATGAATGGTTTCCAGAGAGACGCAGGGAGGGCAGGGGCCGGGTTTTAACGTCCAGTATATCACAACGCGACAACGAGGCCCGCAACTGGCTCACTGGAGACACGGACACTGCAGGGCTGGGCCAGGACAATGTATATACAGGCTCAACAAACGGCACCACCACCAGCCATAGCTCAGAGTTCAATGCCACACACAGAGACAGGGGGGGACCCGGGTGCAAGGCGGCCTCTGAGCCCCTGGAGGAAGAGCAGCAGGGCAGGACCAGATGTCAACAGAAGGGGAGGGGGCATACAAGAGAGCGGGCCCTCGGGAACCACCCCCTCCCTCCCTCCTCCCCCCCCACGGCCAGAAGAGGCAGAGGTCTGGGGCTCTCGATCCAACCTCCAAGTCCAGAAGCAGCCTGCGCCCCCTTCCCTGCCAGTCTGGAGTGAGAGACCAGGTGACAAGGCCAGCCAAGCAGGGACTCCCGAGAAGCGTGGGGAGGACGGAGGCACCAGGCACCCACTCGCCAGGGTGGAAGATGTGGCGGCCGAGTCCTCTGTGTCCGTCCACCCAGAAAGGGAAGGGCTCACAGGCGAGATGCCCCCGGTCCCTGCAGCCGGGGGGGTGGGGAACAGCACCAGAGCCCACCTTCTCTCACAGCGAGGGCCGCCCCGGTCAGTCCATGTCATCATCCAGGCCTCCTGCCCCGCGACTGTGCTCCTCGTAGATCTCGCGCACAGCCAGGATGCGGTTCAGCATGCTCTCCAGCATGCTCTTATCCATGGGGATGACAGAATACCAGAGCGGGGACTCCGCGATGCAGGAGCGCTCTGGCTGCAGGTAGAAGACGTCGTTGCGGCTGCGGAGGGTCTCGGGGCTGCAGGCCAGAGTGGGAGAGAGATGGGGGTCAGAGGAGGGGAGGTGGGTGGCCTGAGGGACTCACACCCCTTCTGGCCTGCTCTGGAAAAGCCACAACCGGCACCCTCCCGCTCCCCCTCACCATTTGGAGAGATAGAACTCATAGAACTTGACGGGGCAACGCAAGGGGTTCAGGCGGTTCTCCCGCTGCTCCAAGACCGGCGCCTCCTCCTCTCTCCTCCGCTTGCCCAGGCTGCTCTCTGCGTGGAAGGGGCAGCAGAGGTTGAGCGGGGTTGGGCAGGGTTGGGGGCAGGGGCGGGGGAAGTAGAAGGCGGTGTCCCTACCTCGGCCCTTCCGGTGCCGCACAGGTGCGTAGTAGCGGATGCTCACAACTTTGGCCGAGCCCCGTGGCGTGGTGCACTTGCGCGACTGCCGCACCACGTTGGTGAAGGAGAGCTGCATGTGCTCCTCGGCCGTCTGCAGCCCAAAGTACTTAGTGTTGAAGAACATCAGGGTGTTGAGCAGCACAAACGGGGAGTAGACGCCCAGCTGCTTGCACTCCCAGAGGTGCTCCTCTTCCACGCGGGAGAAGACCGCGCCTGTAAAGTTACAGGACACAGCCAGCCGTGAGGGTGGCCGGCCGGCCTGTGGTCAAAACCGGACTGGCAAGGGGGGGGGGGGAACCTGGGCTCCAGAGACCCTTGAACGGCCTGATGCCCCTGGCAGAGCGGAATTTTGAGGTCCCAGGAAGGGGCAGCCGACATGCCTACTTATACTGCCAGTGTTGGGAATCCCACTCCCATCATCCTAAGCCTTTGGAGCCTCCCAACTGTTTCTATGGGTTCCCACCCTGATCCGAGCCAGACTGGCAGCGTTTTAGTCCTGGAACCAGTGGTGGGTTGCTACCGGTTCGCCCTGGATTGAGTGAATTGGTAGCGGCGGCAGCGGGAGGCTCTGCCCACCCGCCCGGACGTCTCTGTGCACGTGCAGAAGCTTTTGCGCATGTACAGAAGCGTCACGCGCACACCCCCATGAGCAAACTGGTAGTGGCAAACATTGAAACCCACTACTGCCCGGAAGAGGACTGGGAAACTTTGCGGGAGGTCAGAAGCAGCCTTGCTGAAGCTCCCGGCCTTTCCACTTCGGACACACCATGGCGTTCAATGCTCTCCCCCCTCTCCAACCGTAGGTCTTCACCCCCCACCCCTTTTGCAGGCTGCCTTATCTGAGGATGCAGCCGAAGCACTCATGGATCCAGTCCTGTGGGGAGACCTGGCCAACCCCGGCCTAGGAGGCCGAACCCTGCCTTTCCAAGAGGGCGCCCCCACCCCAACCCCCCAGCAGACACTCACTGTTGGGCAGGATGGAGGGCTGCCAGCCACTCAGCAACTTGTTGAGCTCTTGCACAAAAGTCAGGTAATAGAGGTCGGTGAAGATATTGACCATGCGGTTGTTCTCCAACAGGTACTGGAAAGGCCGAGGGTCACAAGGTCAAAGAGGCCACGCCCCTAATCTGCCTCTCACATGACCCTCCTCCAGGGGCTCTCCGGGGCCGGGGGGGGGTATCTTCCTCTCCGGGGCCCCCCCCACAAAGGTGTTGTGAGGGCTGCTGCTGTCTGCGAGCTTCTCACGGAGAAGTAGCGGCTTCTTTTCTCACCCCACAGAAAGGCAAAATACGCCCCTCCCCGGCCCCCAGGGAACAGGCCATCGACAGCCGACAGGAAAGCCTTATCCATGGAGAGCATCTGTGGAGGCCTCAACCCCCTGCCCCCCCACCCCTGCAAAGGGCCCGGCTGAGGTGGGGCCTCACCTGCTGGATTCCCAGGCACAGGTAATAGACGCTGTCTGGCTCGTAGCGCTCCCCGTTGGGCCGGGTGATCTCCTTGACGAACTGAGCCAGGCCATAGTTCAGCTCGGCCGCCGTGCAGGCCAGGATGTCCTCCTTGATCCGCATGGGCTTGGCTGCGGGCAGCAACAGGGCAGGCTTAGAAGTGGGAGCAGGCAGGGCCACCGGGGGTGGGCGGGCTCACCCTGCTCCTCCCTCCTATCCACATGTCCCACACTTACGGCCAAAGCGCAGCTCGTCGCCCTTGCTGGTTTCGGCACCCACGTACTTGGCCTGCACCCAGCTCTTCCAGGCGTTCACCCCGTAGGAGGAGTTGAGAGCTGAGCCGCTGGGCTGGCTGCTTACCGAGTCCCTGGAGCAGCTCTCTGACAGCACCAGGCGCTTCTGGCCCTGTGGGACAGGGTTGAGGGAGGGAGGGAGGGAGGGAGGGGGCAAGGTGTGTGGGGGCTCCTGGTGAAATCAGCACCACGATGGCATCTGCCAGGCAGCTGGGGAGAAGCCCAGGTTTTCCCCCTGCAACCTGCGGCCAAGTAGCCTCCTGCTTTGTAGTGAGTGAAAAGACCTTTTTCTCCAGGTATTACTCAGAGTGGCAAAGCATTATAGGCTGTTTTTCCTTCATGCAATACACTCCCCCCACCCCCCGCAGAAGATCCTGGGGAGACAGGATTGAGGGGGGCTAGTTTGCTTCCCAGGATACTCAGCAGTGGTGGGTTGCTACCGGTTCGCCCTGGATCAGGCGAACCTGTAGCGGCAGCGGCGGGAGGTTCCGCCTGGATGTCTCTGCGCAGAAACATCGCACGCCCACGAGCGAAGTGGTAGCGGTTGAAATTGAAACCCACTACTGATTCTCATGTTTGTCTTTTTAGCTTAGGTTAATTTTTCTTCATACTATATTTTGATAGGGCATCATGGCGCTTGTGATTACATTAGCCAACTACTTTTTATTTATCAGAAAGGGAAAAAACCAAAATCCTTCCACTATAAACAAACTGATCTCTCAGATAATGTTTTAGCCTCGGCTCCTTTATAAAACCAGTGTAGAAAATGAGACTTCTGGGCCCTTCGGTACCCAAGAGCCTAACAACTGGAGGTTAACGCATGGCGGAGGCTGAGAATAAGTCTGGCTCTGGCATTACAAGGTCTTTCTCGGGGGGAGGGGGGGCAGCCCCAGGTGGGACCCACCTTGCGAATCGAGCGAGGCAAGTCTGGGTCTGCAGCAACGTCCTCGGGGGCGACCAGGCTGCAGTCGAAGAGGAAGTCCACGCTGGGATTGATGTCCAAGGGGTCTGCGGGGGAACACAGGAGCCGCTGCACCCCAGGCTCTCCTCTTTGGCAGGTGGAGAAGCCCTCTGCTCTCCGCCCCAGCGCCCAAAGTGCCCCTGCAGGGAGGCAAGGGAGCCCAGACGGAGGTCTCCACCCAAGGAAGGGACACCAGCAGCCCCCTTCTTGCCCACTCTTGTCTCCCTTGGCACTGCCCTCACTTTTAGGGAAGTCGGCTTCCAGGTCCTGCCCCGGCTCATCCAGGACATTCGCCATCTTGACCGCCATGGCCAGCACGTCGTCCCTGGCTGGCCCAAAGAGGTCGCAGTCCTCCAGGAGCCCTTCGGCACTCTGGTTGCTCACCAGGTCTGTGAAAACAGGGGGGCGGGGGCGGGAGGAGGGGAGTGTCAGGCCCGCGCTCCTTCTTGGGACCCCTGCAAGCATCTGGCACCCCTCCACAGTGGCATATCAGGGCCCCCTACGGAACCCACCACACAGATCTGAGGAGGCTTTGTCCAACTCTTCGGCCTCCGCGATCATCTCCGCCATGGCCAGGATGTCGGCTTCCAGGGGGTTGGAAGGGATCTTCACCTTCAGCTCCTCAATGGTCTCCACAATCTTCTCTGTGCTCTCCAGGGTGGTGGGCAGAAACATTGGCACGGGAACCTGGAAGGAGTGACTGGTTAGGGACCGGCAGGAGAGGGCGGAAGGCAGGAGCTCTGGAGAGGAAGAGGTGGTACTCACGGGGACCGGCATGGAGAAAGGCACTGGGACTTTCTGGCAGTACATGTTCATGGGCACAGGCACAAAGACTGGCACCGGGATGGGCAGCACAATCACCTGAGGCTTCCAGTCGTCTGTCAGGAGGGAAGGAAGGAAGGAAGGAAGGAAGGTGAAGACCTGTTAGCACCTCCTGTCCTGGGACGAGGCAAGGCCTCCCTCTTTCCTCCTCCTCCTGGGGAGGGGGTGGAGGGAGAGCTCCACCCCCTCCCCAGTCAGGAGCTCTCGGGTCAGGAGGACCAGCCCCTGGGATGAAGGCAGTTCCAGGAAGGGGGGGACCCACCGGCCTCTCCCTCCCAGCCCAGCCCACCCCACCCCGCTCACCTGTCTGGCAGCCCTTGGACTTCATCTCTGTCTTGCAGGAAACCCCTCGGTTCTGCATGAGAGGCTTGCACATGGCTGCCTTGTTCTTCCGGGGGGTGACCGGCTGAGGGGGCTGGAGCGGAGCTGATGCTGGCGAGGTGGGGGCAGCCTTGGCAGGCTCCTGCAGAGATCCAGACAGGGCAGGGCTCAGCAGCAGAGACACAAGCCCTTCTTCTGCAATCTTCCCCTGCCCGCACAGCACAGAAGCCGGCCCCTTCACCCAGGCTGCACAGGGCCTCCTGAGCCCCAGAAGCGCTCTCCCACTCCTACCCCCGAGCAGAGCCTGAGGGACTCACCGCGCTGGGCTCTGCTTTCTGGGCAGTGGCAGAGGGTTGCTTGGGCTCCGGGGCCTGACCTGTGCAGAGAAAGAGTTTCTGGGGTGAGGGCTGCAGCTTTCTCCACACCTGCCCTGCCCAGAAGGTCCGAGAGCGCAAGGTTGGCCTAGGCGCTCGTTCATCCAGGCGCGCGGCCCTTCTCACCCGGGGCAGCAGGAAGAGAAGCCGCCAACGTCCTCATCAAGGAACAGGCCGGTGCCCGGGAGACACGGGTCTAAGTCTCAGCAGGGTATGAAACCACAACTGGGGCAGAGGGCACCCCCCCCCCCCCCACCCAAGTGGGGCAGGGGGCGCCCCCCCCACACCCCAACTAGAGGAAAACACTGGAATGCGGCCCTCAGATGGAGTCCAGAGCTACCCACGGATCATTTGGGCAGGAAAAGACACGGCTTCTTCCAGCCCATTGGAAGGTCGGCAGCTGCACAAACCAAGGCCCAAGAATAGTTCATGTCTGCCCCACGGGAGACCGGCTCTCCTTCCCTGGGCCCTCCTGGTAGTAGTATTTCTACTAACCTGTCACAAAGCAACCCAGCAAAGCTGGCATTCACTCTGGCATGTTCCTTTAGGCATTCAAAAACTAATTCCTAGCCTTAGGACAAACAAACGTCACTATGCAGAGGCATAAATTTCGTGTAATTCATACACAAATCCTGCCATTCGGCTACACAGCAATATATAGCTCACTTTCTTATGGCAGAGGGACACAGGAGCCCTTCTAATTTGGGCAGCCTCCAGATGTGTGGACTTCAACTCCCAAAATTCCTTAGCCAGCATGGCCAGTTCTGAGAATCGTGGATGGTAAAAATCCATACACCTGGGGTGGGGACAGCTTAGCTTTGAGTATATGAAAGGATGCCCCGCTCCTTAAAAACTGTGAGTAGCTGTCAATCAAAATCCTTAGTAATAATAATAAGTATTATTACTGCTAGAACCCCCAACCCTTGCAAGATGCCTTTCTCCTAGAAGAGATGGGAAGTCAGGTTTCAGCTCCCTTCCTGAACCCCAGGATGCAAGGGGAGCCTGGCTCTGAAGTGCAGGGATAGCAGCCAAAACTACTTTCCTCAGTCCCATTGGATGGCATCCTCAAGCGGATGGGACCAGGACGGACGGTCCGTTTCACAGGACAAGCAGAGAAAGGAACTTACGGGTACTTTAATTTTACCAGCTGAAATAATATTTGCCCAACATTAGAAAGTGTTACATGTGTTAACAGCTGTGGATAAACAAGGCCTTTTCAACGGCTACTTTAGAAAAGATTACAAATAAAAGTTAACATTTAAAAACACCAGGGGCAAGAACCACAATTCATCAAAATCAGATGGATTTTATATTTTATCTCAGTTACAACAGACCTTCTATCAATACAATTTAGATATGTGGTAAACATATAGGTATATTATGCCTCTATCTATTTTCAGCGATTTTTAACTTTTCATACCGTTTCTCTCTCTCTCTCTCTCTCTCTCTCTCATATTAATGCCACTCAGTTACTTGAGAATGTTTGTTAACTACAGTTCAATAAATAAAAGTTTTTTTTAAAAAAAACCAATTAGGTGAACAATGAAGAAGGGAGAGAGGGCCTTGGAGATCACAGGAGCACCCAGTGTCTTAAAGGTGACAACCAGAACCCACCAGGAAGCCAAATGGCAAGTAGGGAGTCACCCAGATACCCCATCCCTGCCCAGACAGCGACTGTAGAGAGTAAGAAAGATGACCTGCATGGAGATAATAGGCAAGCTCAGCTGCCAAAGCAAGGAGGGGTAAAATATATTTTAGGTCCACAGCAGAGAGATAATATTCGGAAGAGGCTCAGACACCTTTCTACTTCATTGGACTGAGGAGGAGGAGGAGGAACATAATCAGACCTGCAAGAATCCGTTATATAGCCAACCTCAATGAAAGTACTTTTAGTTTTCCTGTGGAGTTGATGTCTTGGTGTGGTCTACCCAGACGCTTCGAAATGCTTTTTAAGAGCGAGCGAAACCAAGCCAATGTGACTAAATAAACACCACGTAGAACCCAGGAATGGCCACAAAATGCATCATAGAAAAGCCCTCCTGGCCACGGCTGCCACCTGCTTCTTCAGCAGGAATGGTCCCGGAGCCCCAAAGTATGGGCCAGCCCTGGGCAAAGGAGGACAACACAGACACACTGCCCACCCCCCACCCCGGAATCCTCTGGTCCACAGATCCATTTTATCTAGGGAGGAGCCCAACTAGAGACAGTTTGCCAGGCAGCCTAGTTGATGTGGGGGTACCTTTGGCCGCACTCCTCCCGGCTGGCCCGGCATGTCAGAACCAGAGAGGTGAGCGAGAAAGGGAAGCCTCCCCCCCACCCGGCGGAGTTCAAGCCCACGACCCACCCACCACAGGGCCAGTGCAGGATCCTTCCTTAGCCCCATTTCCACTCATGCGCTTCCAAGTCTTGGCTGGCCGAAGCACCGGCTACTCACTGTTCAGCAGACTCTCAGGCCCTTTCTGGGTGTCCAGGTTGGGCTGATTCTGTTGGTTGTAAAATCTCAACAGACATTGCTGGTTGCAGAAATGCTTGATTTGACCTCGCCAGTGAATAGTTTCCAACAGCTTCCCCTGCCGCTTGCAAGCATGGCACCGAGCTGCCTACCGGGCACCAGAGAGGGAGAGGGAAAGTTAGGTCGACCCACCAGGTACGGGAGCTCATCCTCACTGCAGCTTCCCACATCTGGCTCTCCTATTAAAAACCAAACTTTCACTGAGATCCTGGGCTGGGCTGAGATACTAACTGGACCCAGATCCCCCGGGGGGGCTTCAAAGACCAGGCTGCCCCGCTTCTGTCCGAGGCCACCAGCCACACCAGCAGAGGGTGTGGATAGGCAGCAGTGTTGTGGTCTGCCAGCAGCCTGCGGAGCTGGCAGCAGAGTTGGACAGCGATGAGGCTGAGGAAGAACTTGGGCCAGTCCTGGAGGCTGGGGAAGGCCCGGATGAGGGCTCTGCATCGGAAGCAGAGATGGGGCCAGGGCCATCGGGGAGTGAGGTGCAGACTTCGGAGCCTCCAGAGGCTGGCAGTAGAGAGGCAGAGGAACAGAAGGAGCCCGTTCCTAGTGCACGTATGAGAAGAGCTGCCAGAAGGCAGGAGCAGCTAAAGCGGAGAGGACGACTCAGGAGTAGGGCCAAGAGATGATTGGCCCCTCCCATAAGGCTTAAAAGACCAGCAACGGCTCTTGGGCTCTTTGCCAGAAAACAACGTTGAGAGAATTACTTCTTGTTTCACTGTATTCATTTCTTGTCGGCATCTTTTGCTTCTGAACTTTTGCCAAGAAAGGTCTTCGGCAGTTTGCCTAATTATCCCAAGGTCAGTGATAAACTGAGGAATGGTGTTTTGAAGAATTTGCTTTAATTTAGTTTGGACTACGCTGAGAATGAGTTAATTCTCAGTTGTTCTAATAAAGTCTGTTTTTGAACTGTTTGTATTTAATACTAACTACTAGGGCCTGGGTCACAACAAGCAGTCCGACAAAGGGCAGAGCAAGAGTTGGGGGGGGGGTTTCACATCTATCAGCTCTGGCTTAGGCGGCACAGAAGGCCAACAGAAGGGGGAGACTCAAAGGACCGAACAATGCCTTAAGCACCTGGGAAGGACATACCACCCCTCAACGAGAGAAGACAACCTAAATCTCTGGCCCCGCCTGGGGCAGTTTCTGAGGGCCACAGAAGAGCACTAGCAAGCGAGTGGCATGCGGCTCCTGGGATGTGGCTTTTGCACTCTGAAAGGGAACCGGACAGCAGCTGCTGATGGTCGTCTCCCAAAGGGGAGGCGGGGCTGATGCTTTGAAGCTGGCTCTGGCCCACCTCAGAAGGGAGTGGGGGCTTACGACCTAGAGAATTGCATTCAGCAGCCTCCCCTCCCTCTGGAACTCCCAAGGCCAGATTCCTCCCCCCACCCCACTCCCGGAGGGCTTTCCTTAAAAGACTTTCTGGGAGAGTTCCGGACAGGGAGCTCAGCCTCTTCGTAGCCACGCTTCTTACTGCCCCTGTTCTGTGCCCCAGGCATCTGGGTCCACTGGGAACAGGCAGTTAAACTCTAGCAGCTAAACAGGTTTTCATACAGATTATTTATTTGGGTATCTTCAATAGGAAATGGGAGAGATTATAAAATATAAGGATGAATCTCACCGTGACTGTAAGTCTATGTTTTTGAGGATACCCAAATAAATAATCTGTATGAAAACCTGTTTGCTAGAGTTTAACTGCCTGTTCCCAGTGGAGCCAGATGCCTGGGGCACAGAACAGCGTCTTTTACTTATAAGGTGGTTTATGGATCTACCCACTTGGTGCCCTTAGGAACGTTTTGGCCTTTAGTGCAACTAAAGAGGCAACTCTATTCTCCTGACCAGGACTGGCAGGCCTCCTCCCAAAAGAGGGCCGAAGGGCCGCACTGACCTTGTAGTACCAGAGCAGGTATTTGCTTTTGCAGTCGTCACTGCAGAAGTCCCAGGTGCTGCCCTCCAGCTGCTCGGTGACAGCTCGCTGGCAGGTTTGGGAGCAATAGGTGCAGGTGACGCAGCAGAGACCCAGGTTTTTGGTGAAATCCTGTTTGTAAAGAAGCACACACCCTGCGGAGAAACAACACGGATGAAAACCTCCCAGGGGGGCGGCCGAGCGGCAACAGGAGCCCACAGCAGGCAACCACAGAGAGACCAAGCACGGCACAGACACACACGCACACCTGACACAGCCCTTCCTGCACTGGCCCCGGGTGGCCTAGGGGGTCCCCGTCGCTCACCTCTCCGATCCTAAGGCCGACGCGGCCTCTCGCCCCTGCCCACCGCATGCAACGACCTGCCCCGAGGAGACGGCGGCCGGGGGGACTTCTGCCCTCGGCAACGATCGAGCTCCCCGCCCGGGTACCTTCGCTGCAAAAGTTCTTCTCCACTCCCGAGAAGCGGATCTTCTCGTGCAGCAGCTTCTCCTGCTTGCAGTGCTCGCACTGGGACACCACCCCTCGCAGCCGCTTGAAGTCCTCACAGCAATCCCGGCAGCAGAACTGGTAGACCTTGTCCTGGCAGAGAGCGGGCACCACGCGGGCATCAGGCAGGCACAGACCCCGTGGGGCAACTGAGCCACAGGAGGCCCAATGGGGCGTGAGCTGAGAGTGCCCCTCCCCCAAACCGCCCTCTCCCCAGAGCCTTCCTCCCCCTCCCCCTCCCCCTCCCCCTGGGGCAAGGTCTCTCGCCTCCTCCCTCCGGCGGCCCCCTCACCTGCCAATCCAGGATCTCGGGCTTCCCAGTGAAGAGGTTGTGGCAGGAATGGCAGGTCAAGTGGATCCCACCTTCTGGGCTGGAGCGCTGCATTTTGAGGGAAGGGGACAGATTCAGAAGGGGCACAAGGACCCTGCCCACCTTGCTGTGCCCCAGGACTGCCCACCCAGCCCCTCCCGGCCCCTCACCTGCTCCCTGCCCACCTCATTGCTCAGTTTGTCCCTGCCCCTGAATCCCCCTCACCTCCTGCCCATTCCCAGTGCTCCCCTTCCCCTCCCAATTCCGTGGCACCAAGAAGGGGCCCCTCCAGCAGGCCCCCCTGTGCTGCTGCTGCTCCTGGAAGGGGACAGGCTTTGGCCAGGGAGAATGGCAGCCCAAGACCAACTTTCTGCGAGTGAAATAAATTATGCAAATCACACAGGAGGTTAATTTCACTGATTTATTGGATAGCAGACACAAACTCTCTTTGTCATCGGCAGAAGCAAAAACAGTTTTATTTGAGACAATGACCCCCATGAGAGATTCAACATCATAGATATAGAAAGATCCATAAGCTACGAATGAGATGTGCAGCCTCGCCCCCCCCCCCCCCCCCCCCCCCCCCCCCCCCCCCCCCCGCACCCTCACTGCCCCCCTCCCGGTCATTGGCTAGGCTTCTGTGATGTCAGCGGGATCCTGAATGTCTCCACTTTGAGAAGAAGATTCAGTCATGCAACGCTGCAACAGAGAACGGCTGGGGCGACGAGGGGAAAGATGAACTCAGCAGGAGGGAGGAAGGGAAGAAGGAGGGTGAGAAAGGAGACGGGCACAGGCGATGGCAGAGCGTGGATAGGGGAGCGCGCCAAGAACCCAGAAAGCGAGAGGAGGGAACCTCACACACACAGCCTAGGGGGGGGGGGGGGGGGGGGGGCGGGGCCGGGCCCAGAGGCCCAGAAGGAGGCTCTTCTCCAAGCAGCACCAGAATTTGAGAAGGCAAATCAACACACAGGCAGAAGATCCAGAGATTATCCACTCTGGTGACTCAGACGGAAAGAGGGCAGATGATGTAAGAAAGAGGGGAGCGCAAAGAGCGAGGGGGCCTCTGCTCAGCCTTGGGAGTCCCTACACCTTCTGAGTCCCATGGCCGTTAGCAGGCACCGCCTTCCCTACTCAAAAGCTGTCCTCAGCAAACAATGAGAGCTAGAAGCCTTTTTCTTTCCTTTTTAAAGAAATGCGAGAGCGGAGAGACTTCAGAAGTCTGACGGATGCCCCAGACTGCAGCCGTGCAGAGCACCCAGAGAGCTCTTCGGTCTGGTCCCGTCACTGTGACGGCGGAAGAGCCTCCGTATGTACCTGGAATTTGGTCCAGCAGCTGGGGCTGCAGAACTGGTACACCACCTGCTTGTTCTTGTTGTAATAGCAAGGCTCAGACAGGCTCTTCCGGCAAAAGCTGCAAGGCCGGACGGGTCCTGGGGAGAGGGGAAGGATACATGGCAGGATCAGGGTGGGCTCCAGGAGACTCCCCCAAGAGCGGGCAGGAGGAGTCTGCACCGCAGGGCTGGTCCTCTCTTCCCCAGAGGCCCAGTGCCCACCTCCCCACCCCGGGCACACAGAACGCATCGCCTGGGGCAAAAGACACCCCCCCCACAAGTACCTGTCAGTCCGGCCTGCTTGACCTTGTAGGAAGTGGTGCAGCAGATGGAGCAGAAGAGACCCAGCTTGCCGTTCCGGTCTTTGTGGGAGAGCATGTCGAAGTTCTTGCACAGCGTCTTGCACCACATGCACGGGTAGACTCGGGTGTGTTTCTGCAAAGACCCAGGGCATGGGGGCTGCTGGGCAGAGTGGCCGGCAGGCCCCAGATCTTTCCTCCCCCTCCCCTTTCATCAACGCCAACCCCGAGGGACCCTCCCTGCAAGGCCACCGCCTCGCAGCCTGAGGGGGCAGGGCCAGGCGGCTCCCAAGCACTGGCGGATGCAGGCAACCCTCAGGGCCCTCCCCAGAGAGCCTGTTCCCCTTCAGCCACCGTACCTTCTTGTAGCTGTTGAGGCAGGCGGGGTTGCAGAAGCGCTTCTGCTGCCCCTCGTGGAAGAGATACTCCAAGGGGACCCCCTTGTTGTATAGGTAAAGGCCGCAGCTGTCGCAGCAGTTGGTCTTCAGCCCTTTGGTGGCCCGGAACTTAGTGAAGCAGGCGTCGCTGCAGATGCGGTGCACCACGCTGCCGTTGCTCACTTCGTGCTGAATCTGAAGTGGAAGCGGAGCGGTCGCAGGCTCGCCACAGCCCCCCCCCCACATGCCAGGGAGGGATGTACAGGAGGTAGGGAGAGGGAAAACTCCTGCGGTGGCCTTCCCCAGCAAGCTGGCCACAGAGAGAGGCCTTTGCTCACCTCTCCAGTCTTGTAGCAGACGCTGCACCGGACGGAGTCTGAGGTTTCGGCAGCCTGCAGAGCCGGACGCTGCTGCTGCTGCTGCGCTTCGTACAGCGAGAGGCAAACCGAAGTGCAGAACTCGTAGAAAGAGCTGTCGGAGCCGATCTGGGCCACCACCGAGTCCTTGGTGTTCCAAATCTCCCTGAAGGGAGGAAGACCCTCGTCAGGCCGGGGGCAGAAAGGCTGCCTGTCCCAACCCTCTACGGGACACAACAGGCCAGGACCAGGAGGCTCCCCCGCAGCGGTCCGGGGGGGGGGCAGGGAGAGGCCAAGGGCGGAAGTGGGGGAGCGCCTACTTTTTGCAGAAGGTGCAGCTCTTCCTGCTGAGGGGCCGCTTGGAGAAGGTGGTGAGGCAGGAGCTGGAGCAGAAGAGCTGGGGGAGCCCCTTGCGCTGGTAGGCCGTCTGTCCCTTCTGCAGTGGCGTGCGGCAGTTGGCGCAGGTCATCTTGGTGACGGTCGAGCGGGCCGCCCGCTGGGCCATCTGGTTGCGCAGAGACAGGCGGGTGGGGCGGCGGGTGCGGAAGGGGACGAAGTCCTCGTCGTTAGGGTCATCCACCATGGCATCCGAGTCCTCATCAGAGACGGGGACTGCGAGGCAGGAGAGAGGGAGCAAGTGCTCAGGGCTTCCCTCCCTTCTGAAATGGGAAATCCCCCAGCGCCCCAGATGCCACCAGGATGGCTTAGTCTGGCTCTTCCCTCAGGCAGAGAGGCAGGGTAGAAATTGAAATAAAAATAACAGCATCCTTTGGTCTGGTGTACCTCTAGTTAGATGTAAGGAAATCTGAGAAAAATGAGGTTGTGTTTATGTGTGGTAATTCATGTAAATGTTTTTTTATTTTCTTCCTCAGGCTGAAGAAGCACTGTAAGCTGCCCTGAGTCTCCAGAGAAGGGCAGCATATAAATCAAATAAAAAGAAAAAAGAAAAAAAAAGAAAAGTGTCCATTCTCACCTTCTAAGTTAGTCCTTGCTGATAAGATGGAAAGACTGATGGAGGTCTAATTTGTTGTTCAAAACAATGAATTGTATTTACCTATTGATCCAATGGTGTACTTTAATTTGGCTAAAATTGGTTTAATTGGTTTGTTTGCTGGGGTGTTTCTTTTTCATAAGAGAAGCCCTGGACCCAAACTCTGTCCCCAGCCCCTCTTTGGCAGCTGCCTTCCCTTTCTCGAAGGGATGCAGCTCTGGAAGAAAACCTATGCCAGCCAGCGGGGAATCTGCCTCTAGCCTGCAGGGTCAGCCTTTCTCTCTCTCATGAACCTATTCTGGGCTGGGTAGTCCAGCCTCGCCTGGAAGGCAGCCTCCTTTTTCACGCCTGCTCTGTTCCCAAGTTGACATACTGTACCATTTGGGAGCCCCCCTCCTGGCCCTCCCGTTCGGGTGGACTTACTGCTCTCTGAAGAGTTGACTGTTTCTGGCCGAGATACCTCTGCCCTCCTGGCTCGCTCGCTCCTCTTCTGCTCCTGGAAGACACCAGGGAATCATCACTGCAGCCACCGGAGGCCAAGTCTCCCCACAGAAGGCGACCCACCAGCCCAAGTCAGCCCGTTCACAGGCTCTGAGCTGGGAAGGGGGAAATGCAGGGCTGGGGACTTCCAAGCCCTCCCAAGGCCTGAAGGAAGAGACCAATGCCCAGCTGGCCTTCACCGGCCCCCACCTTACCCTTTCAACGGGTGCCTCGGCTGCCTTCGCACCAGCACCTTCCCCTGCAAAAGAAGACAAGAGAGACCCGATGGCCACCCACGATCCTCAAGGAGGGCCCATCAGAAGACACCTCCCAATCATGGTGACAAAACCACATCTGGGGAGGGCAATGTGGGGTAAAGGAGGGAGTCCCAGAGGTGCTTTTTCAAAAGGCAACCGGACTTTGAAGACGTTTCGCTTCTCACTCAAGAATGGATGAGAAACTCCAGTCGCTTCTTGAAGAAGCCCCTTTGGGACAACCTCGGCCTGGATGACCAAGAATCTCCATAGACCGGGAGATAAAGGCGGGAGTTTTAGAAGGGGCCCAGTATTCAGAGAAGGAAGCGGGAGGATCTCTGGATCTGGTCAGCAGAACACGATCTACCCGGCTAGTACTGGCACACCACAAGGCGGCAGGGAAAGAAGCCGCAGTAACCCTGGGAGAAGGCTGACCCACCTGCAAGGGAGGGCGGGGGTCCCGCTTCCTGTGCTTTTGCAGCTTCACTGGGGCCACTTTCTTTCTTGGCTGCACTCAGACTCCCCTCGGCCACTTCCAGAGGGGGCGGCACAGGCTCAGGAATGCTGTTCGGAGTGGGCTCTTCTTCCTCCTCTGCGGGTGCCAAAGCATCCTCCTTGTGCTCCAGGGAGCTCTTCTTGGGGGATTTCAACCGGGGCTTCTTCGCCAGCCGTGGGCTCGTTGGGGGGCTGCCGAGTGAGGGGGCTGCTTCTTGGGAAGGGGTGAAGCTGCTCACCTCAACCACCTCAGGGTCGTCCTTGGCGGAGCTGTTTGGAACACAGCCTGTGTGCTTGACGTGGCTCTCCTGCTCCATGCCTCCTTGGGACCCCCCCTCCTCCTGCAAAGCTTCGGGACTCAGGCGTTCAGTTCCCGGCACAGGGGGGGCTTCGGTGCCATTCTCTGGGTCCACAGATCCACCTGCCTTGAACAAGCCATCGGGGTCCCCAGACTTCTCTAGCACCTCCTGGCCCCCTCCTTTGCTCAAGCTGTCCAGAAGGCCAGGCTTCTCCAGGATAGCCAAAGTGCTGGGCTTACTGAGGGCCAAAGACTTGCTTAAGGTGGACAGGTCACCGGCTTTCCCCACGCCAAACTCCAAGCTACCGTCGGACGCTGCTTGCTTAGACACCTCCCACTCCATCTCTTGGGACTGGACAGTCGCTGCTTGTGGGATGGAGGCTGTTTGGGAGGCCAGCAGATCCTCTCCGAACTCCAGGCCCGCAGGGAGATCCCCAATCAGGGGCTTATTGTGCAGAGACAGGGGCCCCAAAGAGGCAGGAAATTTGTTGGAATCCATTCAGGGATGCCCAACAACTGAGAATTGAGAAAGGAAAGAGGTCAGTCCTTCTTCACTGGCCTGCAAATCAGCTGTGGGCACAGCAAAAGGATTCCTCCCAGAAATCTATTTCACAGAGACCCCCCCCCTTTCCTTAACTGATGCCGAACCCCACCTGATCTGAAACAGCCTAATCCAAACTATCCATTGCAAAGCAACTGATCCATGACAAAAACGAGGCTGACTCATGCAGAGCGTTAGCTTTGGAAAAAGCAAAGCTGGGACCAACACGGAGCCTCAGTTGGGAAAAAATAAAAAAATACTTTGCGTTCATAGAAGACGCTTAATTGAAGTATTGTATTAACCCATTTTCTCAGGCTCACAATGCACTGAACTGCAAACCTATCAGAACTAAAACCAAGGTTAAGGCCAACCAAGTTTAATGGGTTACACAAATGCAGCTGTTAGATCTTGGTTTAGGGCAGGGGTCTCCAACCTTGGCAACTCTAAGACTTGTGGACTTCAATTACCAGAATTCTGGGAGTTGAAGTCCACAAGTCTTAAAGTTGCCAAGGTTGAAGACCCCTGGTTTAGGATACTGTACGAATAAGCAATAGAATTATGCCCATGTTTTATCAGTAGCCCAGCATTAAGCATACCTTTCAAAAATAATACAGTGCGCACACAATGCACACGCAGCTGACTGAGTTACTGAACGATCTCCTGGTGCAAAACCAGCCCAGGATCTGCCTGATAACCCTTTTCCCCCAACCAATGCAGAAAAGATCACCCATGCTACCTTCACACACTGGACAAGTGGGGAATTTCCATCCTGGGCAGCTGTGACACATTTCCCCCAACAGGCACAGGGGTCTGATGATTTAGCAGTGTGTGTGAATGGGCCACAGACCATCAGCATAGCTACGTTTTAGTCTGAAAGATCTTCATGGCCCTACAGCCACCCAACCGAGCCTCTGCCCTCCTTCGCTTTTAAATTGAGACCCGAGGTTTGGTGGACTGGAATGGTCACTTTTTAACAGCTAAATGCAAAAAGCTGTAACCATTTACAGCACTCATTTTCTATACGCTGCTGTGAGCTGAGATAAAAGGAGGCACACCAGTCAATGCAAACCTCATTGCGTTAGTAGCACTCAAAAAAGGCAAAACGTTTCTTGGGATAACCACGGGAGGGTTTAGCAAGCAACACAGCTATGTAAAGGGAGATTCTGCTTGCCGGTCTCTGGCGGATGGCGCCGGCCATAAGTGCCAGCCTACAGGGCAGCTTGGAGCTCCTTCGCAGAGGGCTGCAGTGTCCGTCTAGCCACGATTTGCAACGTGAGAGGGAACCTGCCTACAGGTGCAGCAACGGCTTCATTTTCCTTTCTCTGGTAATGAAGGTTCTGTCCTTCACTGGCCAACAATTTTCCTCAGGTGATTTAATATCGCATGGGAGGGTGCCAGATCCTGGAAAGTGCCCATAAGAACCTGCCTCAGCTCAGTCTCTGTTGAGCAAGGCAGAGCCACCCACTTGGGCCTGGGGATGCAGCAGGACCTTGGTGGGGTGCCCGCCCTCCTTGTCCCTAGCTTTCCATAGCATCCATTATGGTCTGGGGTGGGGTGGGTTGCAGTGCTTCTGCCCCTTCCTAAGTGGGCAGTTCCAATCAAGCTTGTTACGGGAGAGAGTTTGCCCTGGGGCAACCCAATTGTGATGCCCACAACTATCAAGGGATGTCACAGGTGGCCTTGGCACCATCACTATGCTGGTTATCCAGCTTCACGTTTACATCTCTATGCAGGTGAAGGAGGAGATGTCGTGGGGCTTTTACCCAGTGCCCAGAGACTGTGAGGGTCTGAAAGGGGCAGATGGAGTCTCAGCAATACGGCATTACTATCAGTCTCTGATCTTCCTTGGACATGTATCTATTACTCCACCGGAGGCCTCATTTCTCCTGAAGGAGCAGGTGTGCGATCTGGAGAGTTCTCCTGGACTTGCGGTTCCAAAGAGAACAGCGGAGAGAGGCTGTGGACAGGACAGCCTTTGGCCAACTGTAGCCAGTCCACCAGTTACACCCTTCCCTTGACCAGGTGGTGCTGCCCTGTACTCCTCCCTTCTCTTTCTTAGGCTACTGCAATCTGCTTTACGTGGGGCTGCCCTTGAAGGTAACTTGGAAGTGGCAGATGCTCATTCATTGACTGGCCCCAGGCAGGCCCACCCCTATTTTAAGGGAGCTGTGCTGGTTGTTTAGGTTTCTGTCTTAATGCAAGGGCCCCGGTGGTTACTTCTAAAGCCCCTTATGGCCCCCAGGACCGACTCCTCCCCGCAGAATCAGACTGCCCCTTGTGGACCAAGAGAGGTGGCTGCAGCCTCCCATTCTCCCAGAGAGATCGAGAGGGCTGGGTCCCTAGAGGTCTAGCAGCAGCCCCCTCCAAGGGCAGGTGAGCTCCCACCCTTTGGATCTTCCAGCAGCCTTGTCTGCAGAAGAGAAGGGGGAGGGGGGCATTTCTCATAGGATGTTTTCTTATAGGCTGCCTTGAGTTTGACAGGCAGGCAACACGCTTTTTTTCTAAAATACCGGCCCGCACCCCTCCCCCCTTTCCGGGTCCCCCCCCAATTCAGATCGGCGTGTCTTCTTTCATTCAGGAACGGAGGGAGCCCCAGACCGCCTGAAGCGCCGCTTGCCGCCCCCTGCAGCCCAGCCCGAGACCCCCGCCTCCCCCTCCAGGCAGGATCCGGCCTCCCCTCCCCTCCCCTCCCCCAGGGACCCCAAATCTTCCCGCCGCTTGAAGCCCCCCCGGCCCCTCCTCATCAGGCTCCTCGAAGGGCCCCCGCGAAGGGATCCCGCTTTGGGGCAGAACGGAGCGCGACCCCCGCCCCCCTCCAAGACCCGAGGTCGCTTCCAACGGGGCGCAAAGCCTGTGGCGGGAAGCAGCCGCCACCGGCTGGCTGGAGCCACGCCAGACCTCCCGGGGAAGACCCTGCGGGAGCGGCCGCCACTCCGGGCCTCCGCCATGCTCCCCACCCGCCCGCCCAGCCCCGCCGGAGTCCTGGCGGGCCTGCGGGACGCGCCGCTCCTCCTTGCGGGCGGGGGAGGAGAGACCCCCAGCAGAGCCGCCTCGCCGTCGCGGACCCCCCTGCAGGGTAGGCCAGGGAGAGCCGCCGGCCCGACCAGGGAGGCCGCCCCGCGCCCCCTGCAGTGCAGGCCACTCCCGCCCCGCAGCGACGCCGTCCCAAGGGTGGGGGGGAGAGGCCCCCCCCGCCCCCCCGCCAGTACCTGCAGGATCCCTCCCGCCGGCGCCGACCCACCGCGCGCCCCTCCCCCGGGTCGAGGCCCCGCCCCTCCCGCGCCCCACCCCCTCCCCTCACGAGGTGCTGCGCGCCCCCGCCCCCCGCGGCGGTCTTCCTCACCTGCCGCTCCCCGGCTCCGCCACAGCGCTCGCCCCGCCGCGCCCGTCCCCGCCGCAGGCGCTGCCGGAGCCCCCGAGGAGCGTGTGGAGGCGGCGGCCCCTTTAAATGGAGGCGCGCTCGGAGCTCTCCGCGCGCCGCAGCCCGAGCGAGGGGGAGGTCGGGGAGGCCGCCCATTGGTCGGGGCCCAGGCAGAGCTGCGTCCCGATTGGCTGACGGCTCCCGGGCCCTGCGCGCCGATTGGCTGCACTCTCACCGGAGCTCGCGAGACTGGCCGCGGCAGGCCGGCGGCCCTCAAAACCCGGCGAGGAGCTGGCCGCTCTCTCGGATCGAGCGGGCAAGGCGGAAAACCCGGAGCGGCAGAGCGCGGGGCGGAGTCGGGGGAAGGGCGAGCGTGGTGGGGGGGGGTGGAGGGGGGCCCCCCCCCCCCTTCCGGGCCCCCCCCCCAGAACTGCCCCCCAAGCCCCCCCGCCCCCCCCAGGCGGTGCCCTCACCTCCTCCCTCCGGCAGGGAATCCCTCGGCGTTCGCGGCGGCGGCCAGGCAGCGAGGAGTGCGCGGCCAGGGTGGGGCGGTCGCGGGCCAGCGGGGACCGCCCCCGGGACGGACGAGGGGCGCCTGGAGACCCCCGCCCCCTCCTCCTCGCGCCGCCCCCTCCGCCCTCCGCAAGGCGAGGCGCCCCCGCCAAACGGCAGCCCGGCTCCCTCCCGCGGCGGCCCCCAGCAGATCCTGCCCTTCCACCCCCGAGACCCCTCCCCACTTGCCCCAAAGGGGCGGGTGGGGAGCGAGCCGGGGAGGAGGAAGGGGGGCTGGGGCCGAAGGTTCCTCTTGCTGCAAGGCTTCCCCTTTGGGACAGGCAGGGAGGCCCTTGCTCGGGACCCCCCTGGATCTGGCATATGCCGATCTCAATGGGAGAGGAACGCTTGGGCCCCTTCCCTGAATGCCCCCCCCCATAGGAGGCAAGGGGCAACAAGGAGAGAAGTCTCCCTGGCTCATTGCTGGACCCCCTCCCTGACAGCCTCCACTGAAGAGCCGTTTCAGAGAAGGGCCTCCGCACCGGTGTTTAGTGGCAGGGTGTGCCTGGACACAGCCAGGGATCTCTGGGGCTCTTGGCTTGTTCCTGGGGGGGCTTTCGGTTGGAAAGGCTTCTGGTGGCCTGGGAACGTCCCCATCATGCTTTGCCCTGGCACTTCCGAATCCACTCAAACATTCCTCAAGCTTCCAAAAGAGGATTTATTTTTAAAGTTATCAAGTGTGGCCACCACTCTGGGCCTCTTGCCACCACTGGGGGCGCCACACGGCTTCTTAAAGGAAGACCCCAGCGAGCAAGCCTTCATCCTTGAGCCTCTGCTGGAACCAAGGAAGCCTGCCATGTTCTGTGACATCAGATGGAGCCCATGGGCTCTGCGCCCGAAAGAAAGCGCCCAAGGAATTGCTCCGTCGCTCTGGGGTGTGTTCACATGCCATGGCCAAGCAGGTCAATTGCAAGTCTCCGGCTTAATTTATTTTAGCTTCGTTGCTTTTTTATCTTTAGCTTTGTTAATTTTATCTGGCTTCGGCTTGGGTGAATTCAGCGTGTTATGAAAATGGATTAAGTCAATAGGCAACATGCGCTGTCTCACAAAGTGCCACTTCTTCCCCAGGTCAACACGCAGGGACCTAGCAGACCCAGCCCAGGCAAACCTCTCTGCGATGCCCCGTGACATGTGCAGGCCGTTCCCTCGGGAGAGGCAGCCATTGAGGGGCACTTCTTGGAAATTGGAGTCCTGCTCTCTGCACTGCTGGCCCCTCCCCCATTTGCCCTGGCTGGCTGGGGGTGGGGGGTTCAGCAGCCCCTCCAGAGGAAATTATGGCCTGGATGAGCCTCCCCGGACAGCCAGGCTACCTTAGTGGGCGGAGCGGGAAGCCCTGGAAGCTTTGCTGCCAGAAAGGCTGAGGAGCTGGAGAGGAGCCTGCCCGCTCTCGTGTGCCCATCTTGCACCGGGAGCAGCTCCACCCCAAAACATGTCTCGGCAATCCTCCATCCTCCCTCCACCAATCTCGGTGCACAAGCTAGGAATGGCGTTTCTGAGATCCAAGGGTGAACAACTGCCGCCTCCCCACCCCCCTCTGGGCTTCCTCTCTGCCAGCCTCCAGGCACGTGGCATTTCCTGCTGCTGATGAACGGGGCAGGTGAATCCTGATGCTGGAAGTAGAGGGTTGGGTATGACCTCTCAGGTTCGTGCTCTTCTCCCCCCAGTCCCTAAACTTTCCAAGGCCTATCACCTGTAGAGCTTCGTGAACTTGTAGCAACGATGGGCTTTGTGATCCCAACCGTCCACCTGCAGTGCAGCCTTCCCTTCCTCCTGAAAACTGGACTTCAATTGTGGGACACGTACGCACCCCTTGGTGGGAAGGCTGGCTTGCATTCTGGCCAGCTGGTTTCCTTTGAGCACAGCAGGGCGCCCTTAGAAGAGGATGCCGGAGCAAAGTTGTGCTTCTCCCCTTCCCCTCTCAACAGCTGGAAACAACTGCGATGAACTCATGGGTCTCCCTCCCTCGCCCACCCCAGCAGTCCCGCATAGAATTTTGCTGCAACAGCCTAGAAATCTTAGTTGAGACCTTTAATGGAAAAAGGTGGGGGATCCTAAAGGTTTAGGATCATGCTGCGCGGCTTGTTCCCCATCCCCCACAAGACACTGGTTACAAGCTGGATCGGGAGCAAAGCCCGCCCCCACGCTCTAACCGGCCCTGCAAAGCGGCCTTGCCCTAGCGCCCCCGCCGGCAGACCGCTATGCCTTGCACGCCGCCCGCGGTCCCTTTAAGAAGCGCCACGCTTCCTTGTGCGCCTGCGCGGACCTCGCGGAGCCTCACGTCACTCGCTCTTCGCCCCCTCCCTTTTCCTGCCCCTTTGTCCCTTTTTCACCACTCACTCAAACATGACTGGAAAGCGCCTCGAGTGCCAATTGGCTAAGCTTTGCGCGGGCCGGGGGAGCAGAGAGCCGGACCAATCGGAGGCCCCGCGACCCACTCGATTTGACTTCGCCTTTAGATCGGCAAGCATGGCGGCCATTTAGCGGAAGAACTGGAGCGGCCTTTCAGCCAATTGGGGCCGCCAAAACGCGACAGGGGCGGGACAGGGCCAGCACGCACCAGAGAACGGTTTCCGGCCTCGCGCGCCCCCATTTTTTCCTTCTTCCTTTACCTCCCCTCCCCCCCGCCTTCTCGTCGGCTCGCCTGAGGTGAGGAGGCCGCGGGAGGCTGGGCGGCGGCGGGGGCGGCGGGACCGGGCGGCCGTCGCGAAGCGCCTCTCCCGGCGGAGGGGGGGGAGCTCGAGGCGGCGAGGGCGAGCCCGGCCCTGCCTCGCTCCCTTCGGCCGGCTTCTGGGAAGCGCGACGGGGCCCGGAGGCTCCCCGGGGAGCGTGGGGACGGCGGCGTTGGGATGCTCTCGGCTCCGCCGGCCGCGATCGCGGAGCGCCCTGGGAATTGTAGTCCGCCGGAGGCCCCGGAGGGAGGGGGGGAAGCGGCGGTGTTGAGGGGGAAGCGGCCCAACCACCTCTCCCTCCCGGCTTCTCTCCCGCAGGGAGCCGGCCCTCCGCCCCGGCCAAGCATGCAGGGCAGCAAGGGCTTCGCCATGGAGAAGCAGAATCACACCCCGCGGAAGCCGCCGCAGCACCACCAGACGCAGCAACAGGCCGCCCCCGCCAACGGGCAGCAGGTCAACAGCCAGAGTGAGTGGCCGCCGGCCGGCGTGGAGGGAGGGGATGGGGGAGCGGCCGAGCTGCGGGAAAAGAAAAAGCGTCGCCGGCAGCATCGGTGCACTCGAAGCGGGCTCTGCCCGGGGCTCCCGTCTGTTTCCCTTCGCTCCCCACCGCGGCAAGGAAGACGGACGTCAGATTGGGAATTGGTTTCTCCCAGGCAGAGTTTCGCTCCTCTTCCTTAACCCAGCCTAGATGGCCTAGACTGACGGAATCGGGGCTCTTCTTGCCCGCTGCAAAAAGAAATCAAACTCTACCGTTTATTTAAAAAGAGGGGAGCCTGAAACTACTTTGGATGATGCTGCAAGTGATAATCACTGTTAAAACAGTTGCTTTCTCTGGCTCAGATGTCCCTTTGGTACTTTTTCCACATTTTAGGATTGGAATATAGACTCCTTAAAGCTTTTAGTAAATCTGG